CACACACACACACACCACACACACACACACACACACACCACACACACACACACACACCACACACACACACACACACCCACACACACACACACACACACACACACACACACACACACACACACACACCACACAACACACACACCCACACACACAACACACACACACACACACACACACACACACACACACCACACACACACACACACACACACACACACACACACACACCACACACACACACACACACAACACACACACACACCCACACACAACACACACACACCTTCCCCAAATATTAAATATCAATCATGCCCATCAACCTACGAGATTAAAATGTGACGCAAGTAAGAGGTGTGCATGATAAGCATTTCCAGAGGGGCAGAATTTCGCCATTAAACACTTCTGTATAGCTGCGTCAGGTCTGTCCCAAAGCTCTGTATGGCAGCATTAGGATAGTCTTGTCAGGTGGCCTGGTGAGTTAGACACTCGAAAGGTTTAGATTTGTCATTATTGAGCACCGCCATGAACCAAGAAAACGGTTAACCGATGGTTTAACAGGTCAAAAAATGGCGGTAAAATTAAGTTCCGTGCTTCAAATTGTCTCCTTCATTCCCTGTGAATTGGTCACTCTTGGGCGCATGTCAATCATGTGCATACAATTTTTATTTCTATCCATGAAGTGAATGTGAACATGAGGTGCAAACATGCACATGAGCAAACATGCAAACAACAAACAAACAAAACAAACAAACAACGAACAAAGAATAAAGTGGTAGTTTTAATGGTAGCAAGTAAGCTCGGTTTGGATGACACCTGAAAGCCTCAGAATGGGAAATAGGGTTTTGGCATGTGCGATTAGACAATACCAGGCAGGAGTGAAAAATTTAAATAAAATATGGCGAAAAGGAGTGAAAAATTCCTCCTCATAGGGTGCTGCTTTACACCCAAAGTCGACAATTCAAGGATAATGACTTTACTTGAACACCTTTTATCATTCCTGAGAAAAAAATAACAGAAGCTTGAGCTGCACACTTTGTCCACTAAGATGAGCTTCCGACTTGTCCGCCTACACGTGGTCATAGCCGTGAAAGGTACATGCTGTGTTGGCTATTTGCAAGAGGCATTGAACATTCTTGGCTTCCTATTACCAGCGGCCTTTTAGTTTACAATAGCATCATGACTGTCTTAGGCGTCTTGAGCCATTAGAACCACAGCACGAATGCAGATTTACCCGGTTTTCCCGCATTGATTGTGCACGAAAAAACAGCAACAGCGATTAAAGACATGTTGATTCCTTCCCGCTCTAAAAACCATGAAGCTGGAAAACTTTTTTCAGCCGACGCTCGTTCAATCACACTTTACGACCCACATTCCAGTTTCATTGACTTTCAGGTGTGGGCGGCAGATGAGTGACTGAATTTGTCTTCGTTTCAGAACGATACTCTTTTCGGATGGAGGATAATGAGTGCTCGCTTTTCACACACTTGCGTCAAACTGCCAGATGGGCCCCATAAATCTGGCTCGGTTCCTGCCCTCCATCCAGCCGCGGACAGCGGTCGTCGTCCGTCTTCCGTTCAGCCCGGCCGGAGCGGGGAAGCATCGACGGAACTCACGTGACTGGATTAGAATCGAGAACTATCTGAGATGATCGAAGCCGAATCGGCCATTTGTCAAGCGGCGTGCGTGATATTCATGCAGACGTCGAAATTACTTTTTTATGATGGGACCTCTTTTACATTCTGGAATGCAAAAAAGGCAACATATATCCTGCCTGCCAGGCATACGCGCGTTTGGTTTTAAATGATGGCTGCTGTTTTGAATTAAGCCGTCAAGAAAACGAGAAATGAGATTCTGGTTGTCAGTGGTTCTTTGGAAAACACAAGCTCCTGGTCTCTTTATCTCAATTTTTGCGAACCCTGGACCTGGCTTCCCCGCTTTTCCGATGCTTTTTCTAAACACTAAACACCGATTCTTGGTTCCCATTGATTCTTTTCAAAATATTAGGCGCTGGTTTCTGGTTCTCAATGGCTCTTTACCAAATACCAGACCCTGCTTCTGGCCCCCACAGGTTCTTTTACACCCCCACTCACAGACATACTTACACACCTAGTTCCTTTCTGGTCCCATTGATTCCTTGCAAACACCAGTCCCACTTCCCCACAAAGCACCACCTCCTGGTTTCAGGTACTGATTAGGTAATCCCCGGCCGTGGCTGTCACGTGACAGTTATTTACCTATGGTCCTGCACGATGCTCATGATGGTTTGCAATGCATAACCTTTGGTCACTGAAATGCACATTTTTAAGAGCAAAAACGATCATTTCCCCGGAATAAACATAGATCTACCGATTAGAATCATTGGCATCACTGCACTCTAACGCTGGTACTGAGATAGGAACTTTTAGCACGTTGCGGCGCGTGGCATGTGAAAGTTATATCAACACGTTAAATATCGCAAAATAAAAAATTGCCGCTGAATATCAGCAGACAAAATACGTTCATCAAGATATAATCTGCATTTTTTCGAAGGAATGAATTTTTGGAATCAGAGGTCATACTAAGCAGTGGCATGCCGGTCAAAGAGACCTGGTATACCTTCAACTGACGCAAGGCATGCTGCCCAATGGCCTGGTACGCCATCATAAAGGTCTGGTACGCCTCCCATTGATACATGGCATGCCGCGCTAAGGTCTGGAATGGCGCCGACCGAAGCCTGGTGTAATGGCCTCCATGGATGAGGCCTCCATTGGTGGGGTCTCCACGGGCGAGTAACGCCTATGGCAGCCTGGTATCCCGCCCCAGGGCCTTTGACGGACAGATCGTAGGCGGGTGTCACCGCTTCGAAGCGCACGTTCGCAGTGACGCTCGTCATCGGGCGCCGCACCTGCCGCACAAACAGCTGCGGCATTCTAAACCTGACTGCTAGAATGCCGGGTGCTGCACATATTTCCTTACTTTGTTCTCGCCCGGGACAGATACAAAAATAAGACCATTCCGATCAGCCACCACACATAATTGGACACACACCACAGTTTGCGACTTATTGTCACCTATGTTGAATATAAGTGTGTCGAGCTCCAGCCATTTTTTGTAATCAATGTTGAGAGACATCATAAAGCTCTCACATGCCACATCATTTTAGTAATCATCTCAGTAGAATTCTTGTTTGGACGTATCACCGCCGGTGCACCAAACAGCTGGAATCATTTGCGTTGTCGTATTTTACATGCCAATGCTTTACGTGCCGATATTTCGCACGCTGCTGTTTTGTCGGGGGGAGGGAGGGGGGAGGGTTGTGTAGTGGTTAGGAAGCTGAGCTCAGGACTTGCTGTTTCTGGGTTGCGTTGGAGTCTCCGCCACGGGGGGGGGGGGGAGGGTGTAGTGGTTTGGACGCTGAGCTCAGGACCTGCTGTTTCTGGGTTGGAGTCTCCGCCACGGGGGGGGGGGGGGGTTTTGTGTTGTTGTTGTAGTGGTTGGACGCTTGAGCTCAGCACCTGCGTTTCTGGGTTGCAGTCTCCGACAAGGGGGGAGGGGGGTTGTTGTTCGGACGCTGAGCTCAGGACCTGCTGTTTCTGGGTTGGAGTCTCCGCCACGGGGGGGGGGAGGGTGTAGTGGTTTGGACGCTGAGCTCAGGACCTGCTGTTTCTGGGTTGCAGTCTCCGCCACAGGGGGGAGGGTGTAGTGGTTCGGACGCTGAGCTC